TTAATACTTGACGTGCTGTTGGAGTGTGAGCAAAGTAACATTTATGAAGGGATTCAGGGAAACCGGCAGGCCGGACTTGAGTCCTGGAGATGGGAAGTACAGTGCCTGCACTCTGAAGGAGGGGTGTTAATGTTGCAGTTTAAAAACTGTAGTGTAAAGCACCCTTCTGGCAAGACAGTGATGGAGTGAATGATGGTGAAAGTTTTTCTTTTTCGGGCCACCCTGCCTTGGTGGGAATCGGCCAGTGTGATAATAATAAAAAAAAAAAAAAACAATAATAAAGGCTCATCTTCATCAAATAAGTCAATAACTTACTTCCAAGATAATCTCTGGAACACCAGCCTGCCTCCCGACTCAGGAAAAAAATTTTTTTAAGAAAATTGCATTTATTTCACGGTTTACTGGTGAACACCGTTTTCTCTTACTCAAGACCAAAGATGACGTTATAGGATGGAGGGGAAATTATTTTATTCCTAATATCCCTGGTAGGCACTCGCCATATTATGGCCCATTTTATTAATTCTAGTGAATACAGTGAACCCCTGCATAACGATATTAATCCGTTCCTGAGAGCTCATTGTTATGCGAAATTATCGTTATGCGAATGAATTTTCCCCATAAGAAATAATGGAAATCAAATTAATCCGTGCAAGACACCCAAAAGTATGAAAAAAATTTTTTTACCACATGAAATATACGTTTTCCTACACACAGAGAGAAGGATACATGCACAATAGTAGAGTAGTACATGCACAATATATATTGTGCATGTACTACTCTACTAAATGAAGAATAAATGACACTTACCTTTATTGAAGATGCAGCAATGACTGATGAGACACTGTGTCCTGGGAGTGCCTTTTCCTCCTGAGTACTGTAGGTCCTGTTTGGTATTTTCTTCCAGAACAGGCCTTATCACACTGTGTATGCCACTACGATTCTTAAATCTCTCAAACCAACCTTTGCTGGCTTTAAATTCACCAATATGAGCACTAGTTCCAGGCATTTTTCCCTGTTCACCTGGGTGTTAGTCGACTGGCGTGGGTTGCATCCTGGGAGACAAGATTAAGGACCCCAATGGAAATAAGTTAGACAGTCTTCGATGACACTGACTTTTTTGGGTTATCCTGGGTGGCTAACCCTCTGGGGTTAATTGTTTCTTGGTATTCTCAATAAGCCACACCAACAACGGTGCTACAGCAGCAGCAGCAGCAGCAGCAGCTGACAGTGCTACAGCAGCAGCTGACAGTGCTACAGCAGCAGCTGACAGTGCTACAGCAGCAGCAGACAGTGCTACAGCAGCAGCAGATGGTGCTACAGCAGCAGCAGCAGCTGACGGTGGTACAACAGCAGCAGCAGCTGACGGTGCTACAGCAGCAGCAGCAGCTGACAGTGCTACAGCAGCAGCAGATAGTGCTACAGCAGCAGCAGACGGTACTACAGCAGCAGCAGCAGCTGACGGTGGTACAGCAGCAGCAGAAGCTGGTGCTACAGCAGCAGCAGCAGCTGACAGTGCTACAGCAGCAGCAGCTGACAGTGCAGCAGCAGCAGCAGCAGCTGACAGTGCTACAGCAGCAGCAGCAGCAGCTGACAGTGCTACAGCAGCAGCAGACGGTGCTACAGCAGCAGCAGATGGTACTACAGCAGCAGCAGCAGCTGACGGTGCTACAGCAGCAGCAGCAGCTGACGGTGCTACAGCAGCAGCAGCAGCTGATGGTGCTACAGCAGCAGCAGCAGCAGTTGACAGTGCTACAGCAGCAGCAGCATCAGCAGTTGACCATGATACCACAGTATTTCGATAATATTTCTCACCCTTTTTACCACAGGGTTGGCACTAGAAGCTTTCTTGGGGCCCATGGTCACTTATTTTGCAGATAAAATCACCAAAAACGCTGTAATAATACGAAATGTTCCGATTGTATGCTTGGATGTTACCGCGGAGGCTGGCTTGTAAACAATGCCACCAGCGGAACATGTCAGGCTGGCTCAGGCCTCACACAGACACGTCTCGGATAAATAGCGTTGAGCGAGATTTTTAGTGCTATGCGAGGCAAAATTTTAGTGATAAAATGTATCGCTATGTGGATTTAACGTTATGTGATGCCAACGGTATGCAGGGGTCCACTGTATATCATGTTTATATGTCATTTATAGTGTTTATAATGTCATATTAGATCAATTCTAATAGATAAATAAGCCGTAGAGTTGATATTAGTGCAATAATGAAGACTTTTCTCCCAACTCCTCCTGCCTCCCAAGAGCGGGAATGTTCCCAGCCGGTTCCTGATTGGCTGGCACTCTACGGATAAACTCCGCCCACTCTTATATGATGCCAAATAGTCAATTATTATATTAGAAAGAATAATACAAGAAATAACAACAAAAAAAAGGAAAAAAATCCGAAAACATTTACAGGATGTGAGCAGTCATGATGCCAGCGTCGATGTCACCATACACAATTAAAATGACTGTAATTCCTTCTAGAAATGTCGTAGAACATTGATTCTTGTAACACTGTGTTGCCAGAGAATTAAGTTATTTTTCTATAACAATAACTCAATTTCCATAATTTTTCGATTTTTTTTCACTCGCACGCAGCACCTGTTACCCCTCCCCTTACCCACCCTCAGGAATATCAGCAAAAATTTAATATTTCTCCTGATTTGAATTCAATTTCAAGCTACTTCTGTTCTGTAACCAATCAAAATCATCTCTTGCTGTGGGCCTCTCCAGTTTTCTCTTGGTGTTTATAGGGGTTATCCTGTGTGTCTTCCATTCTATCAAATGATACCAAGAAACAGTCAATATTTTCATAAAAACCATGTGAGAAAACACCTCAAAGTTCTTATTTTAAACTATCCACACAGAGTAGTTTTCCCATCATGCATTATGTGGGGCAGGAATGTTTGCACAGACCCATTTTCTCATATCTAGGCTAAAATTTACCACTCACAGCTTATCCAAGTGAGCTGAACTCATAATGAAAAACTACATGAGAGACCCTGGCCTCAGAGAAGTAATTCTATGTGACGGCCACTGAAAGAGTTAAGGAAATAAGCCATCATGCTTGACTTTCTTGGGATAACCCTCAAGAGATAATAACCCATAGAAACACTTCTTCAATACACCACTATAAGCATCCCACCCACCACCCTTTCCTTTCTTCCTGCCTTGAAACACACCCCATCTTGCATGAAAACACAGCATTAGGGTGTTGGTGTACATTCACCTAGAGGTGTATACAGGTGACATCCCCACTTACAACATAATAGGTTCCTGGAGAGGAATTGAAAGTTGCACTGTTGAATATTAAAATGGTATAAAATACCGACAGGTTGTTAGGTAAGACACATATGCAACAGTTAGGTATCTTTATTTCGAAACGTTTCGCCTACACAAGGCTTCTTCAGTCGAGTACAGAAAAGTTGATAGAAGCAGAAGAGACTTGAAGATGATGTAATCAGTCCATTACCCTTGAAGTTTTGAGGTGGTCAGTCCGTCAGTCTGGAGAAGAGTATTGTTCCATAGTCTGAAACAATATGGAGTTGAAGTGACAGGATGGAGCCTTATATACCGCCAGGAGGTGAGATGTAGGCCACTAGTAGAGGTAAGAATGTAGTCGCTGGGAGGTCACGTTCCTCTCAAATCCAGCCATTCTCACTAGTTGTCAAGTCTCTTCTGCTTCTATCAACTTTTCTGTACTCGACTGAAGAAGCCTACTATGTAGGCGAAATGTTTCGAAATAAAGACACCTAACTGTTGCATATGTGCCTTACCTAACAACCTGTCGGTATTTATACCATTTTAATATTCACTCTGTCAGACACTGCAACACAAAGGTATCTTGGTACAGAACTGAAACCAACTTGGACAACTTCTACTAGTGAGAATGGCTGGATTTGAGAGGGACATGACCCCCCAATGACTACATTCTTACCTCTACTAGTGGCCTGCATCTCATCTCCTGGCGGTATAAAAGGCTCCACCCTGTCACTTCAACTCCATATTGTTTCAGACTATGGAACAATACTCTTCTCCAGACTGAGGGACTGACCACCTCAAAACCTCAAGGGTGATGGACTGATTACATCGTTTCAAGTCTCTTCTGCTTCTATCAACTTTTCTGTACTCAACTGAAGAAGCTTACTGTGTAGGTGAAACGTTTCGAAATAAAGATACCTAACTGTTGCATATGTGTCTTACCTAACAGTTGCACTGTTGAAAATCCAACTGTCATTTCCCACAAGCGTGATGTTATCAACGGAGGTTCAATTCATAGGAATCAATATATCAAACCCTAAAAAATTTTTTATTAGGAGAAGAAGAATTATCTTGACATGAATAAATGGCAAAGGAGGGATAAAAGAAGGTCTGAGTGGTAGGGGCTTGGACATGAAACAGGCATGTCAGAGTGTCTCACCCTACTTCTGTGTGAGAGGGCCAGAGTATTTAAAAAAAAAAAATTGGGGGAGGCATTGGTTGGGGGTTGCCTGCCTATACAGTAATAAGGATTAAAGTAGGTTCCATAGTATTATACAGAGAGATAATTAAGCTAGAAATGAAAGTGTTATGAAAGAGTAGACTGAGACAGAGAGTGAGCTGCATACCATGCTAGTGTTTGTTGTTCATAATCATCAAGCATGAGAGATTATCACACGAGGAAAAGCAACTTATTCTATGAGGGGTATCCTAAGTTTATTTTCAGTTATTATTCAGGATTACATTCCATCTACAGTCGTTCTTCAGGAGGAATACTATATACAAAACACTGCATTTTAATTCACCTGGCAAGGTATATATGTGCTCCTGTGTAATGATTTTTCTGATGACTGGAGAAAGCTTGTGTTAGACAGCAAAAAAGAAATCAGATTTTCTACTCTATACAGAGCTGAATAAATCAGAATCGATACAATTAAAAACAGAATTGCTGATATGCATTATATGAAAAACTTTATTGTATCATGCCATTAGTAAAGCAAATATGTACACAAATGACTTACAAGAAAGTTGTGCCCGATGCCACAGCCAAAGCGCTACCCCCAGAGCTGCCTCCCGTTACATACCAATCTCCATTTTCAAGTGCAGTAGATGGGATTCTAGAAAGGATGTTATCATATTCTCTGTGGGAATGAATACAGACATAAGGAACTGTATATACAGTAAAAATTCATACATGCACAAACACAAATAGGTAATTACATATACACATTAATGTATATCTTTCTTCTTTCAACAAACCGGCTATATCCCACCAAGGTGGGGTGGCCCAAAAAAAAGAAAAACAAAAGTTTCTCTTTTTAACTTTAGTAATGTATACAGGAGAAGGGGTTACTAGCCCCTTGCTCCCAGCATGTTAGTCACCTCCTATTACATGCATGGCTTACAGAAGAAGAATTCTGTTCCACTTCCCCATTGAGATAAGAGGAAATAATCATGAATAAGTACTAATAAGAAAATGGAAGAAAACCCAGAGGGGTATGTATATGTATGCTTGTACATATATGCAAGTGTAGTGTGACCTAAGTGAGAGTAGCAGTAGCAAGACATAAGACATACCTGAAATTCTGAATGTTTATGAGACAAAAACAAGACATCAGCAATCCTACCATCATGTAAAACAATTACAGGCTTCCATTTAACACTCGCTTGGTAGGAAGGTAGTACCTCCCTGGGCGGATGCTGTCTACCAACCTACTACTTCTACATTAATGTATATACAGTGGACCCTCGGTTATCGGCCGTAATCCATTCCAGAAGGTCAACCGAAAACCGAAATAATATTTCCCATAAGAATTAATGTAAATACAATTAATCCGTTACAGATAAAAATATTCACAAAAAAATATTTTTTTTAACAATTATATAAACATTATATACATTTATTGAAGGCTAATGCTGGCTTCTGGAAGATAGGGAGGAGGAAAGAGGGAGGAGTTAGTGTTTAGAAGGGGAATCCCCCTCCATAAAGACTCTATGTAGCCAAGCCTTCTCTGGGGTTACTTCCCTTCTTTGTCTTTTAATGCCACTAGGACCAGCTTGAGAGTCACGGGACCCCTGTCTCACAAAATAACTGTCCAGAGTGCTCTGTTTCTGGCGTCTCTAAGATTTCCCTGAAGTGGGACAGAGTTTTGTCACTAAAAATGTTACAGATATGGTTTGTTGCAGCTTTGTCAGGGTGGTACCTCTCGACAAAACTTTGCACATCATTCCACTTTGCACAAATGTTCTTAATCAATGAAGAAGGGACCCCCTTCACTTCCTCTTCCTCCTCCTCTGAAGCAAGTTCCTCAGCTGCAGTCTGTTGCTGTTCAAGTTGAAGCTCTTGCAGCTCTTCAGTGGTTAGCTCTTCCCTGTGGTCCTCCACCAACTCTTCCACATCCTTGCCACTCACCTCCAACCCCAGCGACTTCCCCAGTGCCACAATAGAGTCCACAGGATCGGCAGGGTGAGCCTCAAACTCTTCAAAATCCCTCTCTTGGACACAATCTGGCCACAGTTTTCTTCAAGCAGAGTTCAAAGTCCTGGAAGTCATTCTCTCCCAAGCCTTACCTATAAGGCTTATGCAATGGAGGAGAGTGAAGTGATTCCTCCAGAACTCTCTTAGCATCAACTGAGTGTCAGAGGTCACTTCAAAGCACTTTCGAAACACTGCTTTTGTCTTGAGTTTTTGAAGTTAGAAATGACCTGTTGGTCCATGGGCTGGAGGAGAGGAGTGGTGTTAAGAAGCAAGAACTTCACTTTTATAAAACTGAAGTCCCTAAACACTTGGTCTTCCAAGTCTGGAGGATGTGCAGGAGCATTGTCCAGTACCAGGGGGCACTTGAGTGGCAATTTCTTTTCCAGGGGGTATTTTTTCACACTTGGGCCAAACACATCATTAATTAATGCACTCTTTGAAAATTTGCCTTGTGACCCATGCCATATGATTAGCTTTCCACATCACATACAATCTATTCTTCATGACACTGTTTTTCTTGACCACACTGGGATTTTCTGAGTGATACACAAGTAAAGGCTTCACTTTGAAATCCTCACCAGCATTACCACACAACAAAAGAGTAAGCCTGTCTCTCATACGCTTGTGCCTTTTCCTCCTGGGTTATGTAGGTTCTGTTTGACATTTTCTTCCAAAACAGGCCTGTTTTGTCACAAGTGAACACTTGTTGGGGTTTGAATCCTTCAGCCTCTATGTACCACTGGAATTCCTGCACGAATATTTCAGCAGCACATTTGTCAGAACTTGCAGCCTCACCATGCCTTACAACACTGTGTATGCCACTACGCTTCTTAATTCTATCAAACAATCCTATGCTGGCCCTAAATTCACAAATTGCAGCACTTGTTCCAGGCATTTTCTTTGCAAGATCCTCATGCAACTGTCTTGCCTTCTCACAAATAATCGACTCCACAACACTGTCTCCCACTAATTCTTTTTCCTTAATCCACAATAATAATAACTTTTACATCTCTTCCAATATTGGTGGCCTTTGTTTAGTTAGAAAAGTTACTCCTTTTGCAACATTAGCATCCTTGATTTGTTCTTTCTTTGCCAGGATGTATGTAATTGTTGATTTATTCTTGCTGTACATCCTGGCAAGTTCCAGCACCCTCATACCACTCTCAAACTTTTCTATCACTTCACACTTGAATTCCATGGTGTGTTTCACTTTCTTTACCACAGGAACTTTATTTGGAGTTGCACTGCAAAAATAACACAAACTGCAATGGAAAATTGTATATGAATGGTTCATATACTTGGGAATTCTTCACTTGCCTAACCCTTGGGTACAACCTACTTCCACATTGGATAAATGTGACACCATCTACGACTGCTGCACCTCTCCTGCCTACAGTATATAAGCTACTTCTCCGCAGATATGCTGTATTCCATTCAAGATTGATGGACTGACCACATCGACTCAAGGCTGAGGGACTGATTACCTCATTCTCCTCCTGTTCTTCATGTTTCTCCTTTGTATGGACTGATGAAGCCACTGTGTGGCAAAACGTTTCCTCAATAAAGATACCCAAGAGTTGCAAATGTGTCTAATTTATCTACAATGGGAAATAAGCAAAATGTTTGGATGTATGAGCAGAAGCTTCCTCAGCCACCAAAAGACACAGCCAAACTGACACGCAAGTGGCCCCAGCTGGCGGGTGGATGAGTCCGAAATGGCCGATCACCGAATTAACGGCGATAACCGGGCGCTGAAAAACCGGCCGATCACCGAGTTGGTCGATAACAGAACCGGCCAATAACCGGGGGTCCACTGTATATATTCAGTATATACTGTTCGTACACACATACAGTATTGTAAAAGAAGAGCAGTAAGGAACTGAACCAGCACCACTTAACAAGGAAGTGTGGCACGTGGCTATGTTAGCAAAGCACTTGCATCACACATACATAAGAACATAAGAAAGGAGGAACCCTGCAGTAGGCCTGTTGGCCCATACTAGGCAGGTCCTTCACAAATCCAACCCACTACAGAATAAACACTACCCAAGCAATAAGATTTGACAATTCTATAAACTCACATGCTAGTCCCACTCAAATCCAACCCCTCTCACTCATATACTTATCCAATCTAAATTTGAAACTACCCAAGGTTTTAGCTTCGATAACCCTACTAGGCTGACCATTCCACTCATCAACTACCCCATTACCAAACCAGTACTTTCCTATATCCTTTCTAAATCTAAATTTATTTAATTTGAATCCATTATTGCGGGTTCTCTCCTGGAGGAATATCCTCATATATATCCACTCATATACTTCAATCACGTCTCCCCTCATTCTTCGTCTTACAACTGAATGTAGTTTAAGGGTCTTCAATATTTCTTCATAAGGAAAATTTCTAATGTTATGTATTAATTTAGTCACTCTACGCTGAATGTTTTCAAACGAATTTATGTCTATTCTGTAATATGGAGACCAGAACTGAACTGCATAATCTAGGCGAGGCCTTACTAATGATGCATAAAGCTGTAATATAACTGCTGGACTTCAGTTGCTTACACTTCTTGATATAAATCCCAGTAATCTGTTTGCCTTATTATGTATGCTTAGGCATTGTTGTCTTGGTTTAAGGTTGCTGCTTACCATAGCCCCCAAGTCCTCTTTGCAATCTGTATGGCTAAGTTCTACATTATTTAATTTATAAGTGCTAGGGTTATGGACACTCCCGAGCCTCAGAACCTTGCATTTATCTACATTGAACTGCATCTGCCACTTTTCTGACCAGGTATTGAGTTTGTCTAAATCCTCTTGAAGTTCCAAGATATCTACTTTTGAATCAATTATCCTACCTATCTTCGTGTCATTAGCAAATTTGCTCATTTCACTAGCAATTCCCTCATCAAGGTCACTGATATATATTATAAACAGCAACGGGCCTAAGACTAATCCCTGTGGAACGCCACTTGTTACAGATCCCCACTCAGATTTAACCCCATTTATGCACACTCTCTGCTTCCTGTCCATGAGCCATGACTCATTCCATGAGAGCACTTTTCCCCCAATGCCATGAGCTGCCACTTTCTTTAGCAGTCTTTGGTGCAGTACTCTATCAAAATCCTTACTAAAATCTAAATAAACATATCAAATTCCTTATCATGATCAACAGCCTCAAAAGCTTAACTGAAGAAGGTTAATAAATTAGTTAGACAGGAACGGCCTTTTATGAAACCATGCTGAGTATCATTGATCAAATTATGCTTATCAAGATGGCTTCTTATAATATCAGCTATAACTGACTCTAGTAATTTGAGTATAATTGAGGTCACACCAAGTGTCCATGGTTCAATCTCCAGCATGGGTGGAAATGTTGGGAGTGTTTCCTTACACTTGCTATCCCTGTTTGCCTTGCAGTAAGTAGATACTTGGTTATCTAAGGTCATTAATGTACACAGAAGTAGTGACATCTGAAAGTAACTCGAAATGATCAAGGAGGAGCGAGTCCAAGTCCAAAGTAGAGAAGCAAAGATTCTGGAATGAAAGGAAGAAAGAGTAGATTTGCACCAGAAGACAAGGTGGGAGGGAAAAGTTGGAGAGAGAAACAGAAAGATGAAGACAAGACGTCTGTAGGCACAGATCACAATTGAAACTGCTAGCTGTACAGATGCCAGTAAGAATTCTATAGCTTTTAAGATCATGAAAACCATGGAAATTAACAATATAACGGAAACAATGGACCTCTTAATGACTGCATATTGATCACATATGCAATCCTGATTCCATATTACAGTACAGTACAGTGGACCCTCGAATTTCTTGTGTCTCAATTTTCGTGAATTTCGATTATTGACAACTTTTTTCGTCAAAATGTAGCTTCAATTTTCATGATTTGCCTTTGAATTCGGTGGTCATAAGGAACGCGTCCCAGGGCCCATGTGCACACAAAGCCTCCCACATACACCATTCAGTGTGGCATTGTTTCTTGGCGAGTGACCATCACCCCCCGCATTCATATGATAAATTTCATAATAATCCATTGTTTTTGTGCTTGCAAATGCTAAATAAGCCACCATGGGCCCAAAGAAAGCCCTTTGGTAAAGAAGGCGAGAAACACAATAGAATTCAAGAAAGAAAACACCAGTCAGGGTACTTCCCCACACACACCAGCCAGGGTACTTCCTTACACAAACCAGCCAGGGTACTTCCCCACACACACCAGCCAGGGTACTTCCCCACACATACAATTTGATTTGAGTGGGATTTGCACATGAGTGAATAGAATTATCAAAGCTTATTGCTTGGGGAGCATTGAAAATTGGGTTGGGCAAATATTCTGTTAGTGGAATGGTATGTGAAGGACCTGCCTAGTATGGGCCAACAGGCCTGCTGCAGTATTCCTGCTTTCTTATGTTCTTATGTACACCAGCCAGGGTACTTCCCCACACACACCAGCCAGGGCACTTCCCCACACACCAGCCAGGGTACTTCCCCACACAAACCAGCCAGGGTACTTCCCCACACACACCAGCCAGGGTACTTCCCTACACACACGATTTGATATGAGTGGGACTTGCGCATGAGTGAACAGAATTATCAAAGCTTATTGCTTGGGGAGCATTGAAAACTGTGTTGGGCAAATATTCTGTTTGTGGGATGGTTTGTGAAGGACCTGCCTAGTATGGGCCAACAGGCCTGCTGCAGTGTTCCTGCTTTCTTATGTTATGTACACTGAGGAAATTGCTTCAGAGGAAGAGGAAGAGAGAGGGAAGAAGGTGCCTTCTTCAAAGATTAAGGACATTTGAGCAAAGTAGAGTGAGGTGCAAACATTTATGAAGGAACATCAGGAGGGGTGTTAATGTTGCAGTTTAAAAACTGTAGTGTAAAGCACCCTTCTGGCAAGACAGTGATGGAGTGAATGGTGGTGAAAGTTTTTCTTTTTCGGGCCACCCTGCCTTGGTGGGAATCGGCCAGTGTGATAATAAAATAAAAATCACCCTAACCCTCTCCCCTCCTCCCGTCTTCCGTACACCAACAAGAGTCTTCAATAAAGGTAAATGTGATAAATGTTCATTTACAGTATACATTTTATTATTGCTTCATATTAATTTCTCATTCTTTTCTTTATGTAACTCTATATTTAATCTATAAAAAAATAATTTTTTGTTAATACTTTTGGTTGTCTGGAGCAGATTAATTGGATTTACATTACAGTGGACCCTCGACCAACGATGGCATCATCTAACTTTAAATCCGACTAGTGATACATTTTAACGCAAAAATTTTGCCTCGACTAGCGCTAAAAAACTCGACCAACACGATTCGTTCCGTTTGAGACGTGTCCACTTGTGGCCAGTGTTTACAAGCCAGCCAGCCACCGCGGTCCCATCCAAACATACAATCAAAACATTTCATATTATCATAGCATTTTTAGTGATTGCACCTGCAAAATAAGTCACCATGGGCCCCAAGAAATCTTCTAGTGCCAACCCTACAGCAAAAAGGGTGAGAATTACTATGGATATGAAGAAAGAGATCATTGCTAAGTATGAAAGTGGAGTGCGTGTCTCCGAGCTGGCCAGGTTGTACACAAAACCCCAATCAATCATCGCTACTATTGTGGCCAAGAAAACGGCAATCAAGGAAGCTGTTCTTGCCAAAGGTGCAACTATGTTTTCGAAACTGAGATCGCAAGTGATAGAAAATGTTGAGAGACTGTTATTGGTGTGGATAAATGAAAAACAGATAGCAGGAGATAGCATCTCTCAAGCGATCATATGTGAAAAGGCTAGGAAGTTGAATGACGATTTAATTAGAAAAATGCCTGCAACTAGTGGTGATGTGAGTGAATTTAAGGCCAGCAAAGGTTGGTGTGAGAGATTTAAGAATCGTAGTGGCATACATAGTGTGATAAGGCATGGTGAGGCTGCCAGTTCGGACCAAAAAGCAGCTGAAAAATATGTGCAGGAATTCAAGGAGTACATAGACAGTGAAGAATTGAAAACTGAACAAGTGTTTAATTGTGACACTGACAATGTTGTGAAACACTTTAGGAATGTCATAAAGGAACGGGAGGTACAGGCCTCTATGGACAGATATGTTGTGCGACAGAGGTCCAGTGACTCTCAAGCTGGTCCTAGTGGCATTAAAAGAAGAAGGGAAGTAACCCCGGAAAAGGACTTGACACCTCAAGTCCTAATGTAAGGGGATTCCCCTTCTAAACACTAACACCATCCACACTCTTCCCTCCTCCCGTCCCATCAATCATCACCAGATCTTCAATAAAGCTAAATGTCATGTCATCGTACATGTCTTCTTCAGTTTGTGTGTATTAAAATTAATATTTCATGAGGTAAAAATTTTTTTTTTCAATACTTTTTCGTGTCTTGCATGGATTAATTTGATTTCCATGATTTCTTATGGGGAAAATTAACTCGACTAACGATAATTTCGATTAACGATGAGCTCTCAGGAATGGATTAATATCGTTGGTCAAGGGTCCACTGTATTTCTTATGGGGAAAATGGTTTCGATTTTCATGAATTTTGACTTTTGGCAGACTCTCTGGAATGAATTAATCGCGAAAATCGAGGGTCCACTGTACTCTTTAAAAATAACAGAGTACTACACACTCCTTCACACATACTTTCTCTCATTAAAATACATTATCTGCTCTTTGTTTCTTTATTATGTAGTACAGCGGACCCCTGCCTTACGAACGCATTGCGTTATGTTAAATCCGCCATACGAAGCATTTGAACGCAAAAATTTTGCCTTGCCTCACGTCAAAAAACTCGCCTTACATGATTCGTCCGGGAGGTGTTCTACGTGTGGCCTCAGCGCCAGTATTTACAAGCCAGCCTGTGCGGTCGCATCTACGCATACATTTGGTACATTTCACATTATCCCAGTGTTTTTAGTGCTTGTAACTGCAAAATAATTCAGTAGTAGGTTGGTAGACAGCAACCGCCCAGGGAGGTACTACCGTCCTGACAAGCGAGTGTAAAACAAAAGCCTGTAATTGTTTTACATGATGGTAGGATTGCTGGTGTCCTTTTTTCTGTCTCATGAACATGCAAGATTTCAGGTATGTCTTGCTACTTCTACTTACACTCAGGTCACACTACACATACATGTACAAGCATATATATACACACCTCTCTGGGTTTTCTTCTGTTTTCTTTCTAGTTCTTGTTCTTGTTTATTTCCTCTTATCTCCATGGGGAAGTGGAATAGAATTCTTCCTCCGTAAGCCATGCGTGTCGTAAGAAGCGTCTAAAATGCCAGGAGCAAGGGGCTAGTAACCCCTTCTCCTGTATAAATTACTAAATTTAAAAAGAGAAACTTTTTTCTTTTTGGGTCACCCTGCCTAGGTGGGATACGGCCGGTTTGTTGAAAAAAAAAAAAAACTGCAAAATAAGTCACCATGGACCCCAAGAAAGCTTCTAGTGCTATCCCTGTGGTAAAAAGGGCGAGAATTAGTATGGAATTGGAAAAAGAGATTAAGGAAATGTGTGCAAAGTGGGTTGAACTGCAAACCTTTACGGATGAAAATCGCCCTGATACAGCTACTGCAAGCCGTGTTGGCAACCTGTACAATGACAATGTTATGACCCATTTTAGGAACATCTTAAAGGAATGGGAGGTACAGAGCTCTATGGACAGATTTGTTGTGCGACAGAAGTCCAGTGACTCTCAAGCTGGTCCTAGTGGCATTAAAAGAAGCGAAGTAACCCCAGAAAAGGACTTGCTACCTCAAGTCCTAATGGAAGGGGATTCCCCTTCTAAACAATAACTTCCACACTCTCCCCTCCTCCCATCCCATCAATCATCACCAGATCTTCAATAAAGGTAAGTGTCATGTATTCTATTCTTAGTAGAGTAGTAATTGTGCATGTCTTCTTAAGTTTGTGTGCATTATTAAAATTAATATTTCATGTGGTAAAAAAAATTTTTTTTTTCATACTTTGGGGTGTCAGGAAGGGATTAATTTGATTTCCATTATTTCTTATGGGGAAAATTAATTCGGCTAACGATAACTTCGGCTTACGATGAGCTCTCAGAACGAATTAATATCGTAAGGCGGGGGTCCACTGTACTTACTTTTGCCCAGTCCTGCTATCATTCATTCTATCTGCAATCCTGTAAATGCAACACAAGTAGGGTGGAGAATGTATTTTACACATTTCATTGAATAACTTTCTTTTGCATCTCTATAATAAAGATCCTCTGACCTACTTAGCAATGCTTACATACTAACTTGGCCTTTAAGAAATGTGATGAATAACACATATCTTGCTCCTTCAAGATATGTGACATGGCATGATGATATTGATTCTTTGTCTTGTTAAATAGTAGCTACTAATCATAATATTTTCACATCATTATGACATTATCAAGTTGAAGTTATTCATATATAAATATTAATAAGTATTAATGATTAAATAGAAATGAAAATATACAGTTTACATTTCAGCTCTATTGCCAATGATTACTTTGAAAAATTAAGCAAATTAGTACCTAGTCATTATCAACAACAACAACTTGTTAAATGCTCAAGAAATTATATTTTACCTGCTTGGGTGGAGAAAGTTATACTCAACTCCAGAGCGATAAATGTTTTTAGATGGCCCAAATGTGGAGTCTGTTGTTCCAGATCCCATCCCAAACTCATCCAAGTTTGTTTTACCAACAATTACTGCACCAGCCTTCTGGAGTCTCCTTACCACAGTTGCAGAGTAAGTGGGGATATAATTCTGCAACATTACTGAGCCACATGTTGTTGGAATCCCTGAAGTACAGAAATTGTCTTTGACTGCTACTGGAATCCCATCCAACGGGAGGTTTTGCTCTCCTCTATCATACCTTTGAATGTGGAAGAAAAATCACAGGTAAGCTATTAAGAGTAATTATAACCCCCTGGCTTTGCCAAGAAAAATTTATACACTGTATACAAGTCACATACAGTACGGGAACAGTCTTTTTTTTTTTTTTTTAATTTTATGCAGACAGTAGGGCCCCAATTTATAATGTTCTGACTTATGAGGTTTCACACTTATGATGTTGGCACTATATAACCAGTTAATTACTTATGAACAATGACTCAGCTTTCCAATGTCAGGACAAGTATATATGCGATTTTTTTAAGAATGAATTATAGAAAATAATTTTTTTATAGTTTTTTACCAAATACGTACATTCAAACTTGTGCACTCAGTAAATGTTCACTGATGCACTATTCAGTGAGGAAAGATTATTGTTTCAGTGAACATATTAAGGTAAGCATGTTGGAATACAGTTAAAGGTGCATCATCTACAGGTTGTAGTTTTGTCAAGTTATGCACTTGACAACAATAGTAAGAAAAATGTCCAGAAAAAAATTTGGACATGGACAAGAAAATGAAGAAATTTTGAACAAAATTCTATGGTTAGTTTTCAATTTAAAGGTCAATAACCAAGCCAAAAATAAATGGGCAACCTTGAAAGAACGCATAAATAAGCAAACATTTTCACGAGATGCACTTCAAGAAAAATGTTTGTTAACTGAAGCTTGCAGTTTACAAACATTGCAAATTTTGAGTCCTACTGTTCTTTCTTTCAGTATCTAAAAAGATTCAAAATCAAACCGGTTTCACATGGACACCCTGTATAACTATATACAGTAGGACTCCGCTTTAGGGCGTTTCGCTAATAAGGACATTTCAAATTACTATGACCAAAACTCGCTATATGCCCCCCCCTACCTGACTTTCTAATACACTCACCACGTCCCACCCGGTTTGTTTACATTCTCCGTGAGCACCGCGTCTCTCCATTATGTCTGGAAACCTTCCAAAATTTCAAGTGTTTTAACTGATAAGTACTAGGGTTATGGATACTCCTGAGCTTCAGAACCTTGCATTTATCTACATTGAGCTGCATCTGCTACTTTTCTGACCAGGAATTGAGTTTGTCAAAATCCTCGTGAAGTTCCGTGACATCTACAAATAATTATTATTATTATTATTATTAATTTAGGGAAGTGGAGCACAGACCCAATTCCCTTGATCAAGAGCCCCTCACCAAGGAACCTCCCTTGAGGGGGAAGTTCGCATCCTGAAATATTGTTCATATCCAGAAGCAAATTATCGATCGAGCGACTGTTCTTATCCTGAAAAATTCGCATGGTGGGGTATTTGTAAGCCGAGGTTCCACTGTTTAAAACTTAACTCAACACTGATTAGGGTTTAGATAATAAAAAATAGGCCGAGTCTATTTGACTGGTAACTAATGGCCAAAATGCAGAGAGATGTTGATCTGTGTTGTCAGAGTTGCAGCATTCATTTATTTTCAATTTCCTTATTTGTGATTCAATATATGTTGTTGTAACTTAACTTAAACTAACCTGAAAATTTACCATTATTCAACTGCTGCATAAATAGTCTTTAACATACTCTTCATTATACTACACATGGCTGCCAGTCAGATATAAGAGGGCCCCACTTTATAGCGCTTCATTTCACAGTGTTTCATTAATGCAGCGGTTTTCAATTATAACCATTTTTCATTTATTCAGACTTCCTACAATAAATATGTTCACCACTCACTATTAGCAGGGGACAAAAATATTTTTGGGCAATTAATGTGTGTACTGCATATGCCTTGTTTAAGCCTAGCTCTATTGCTCACTTAATATATGATAATGTAAACTTGTTATCAGGCTTTTATATGCATGTGAAATTAAAAAAAGGCTATGTTTCACTTTACAATGATTCTTGCTTTATAGCAGTAACCTGGAACCTAACCTGCTGTAAAAGCAGGACTCTCCTGTATATATTTCACAGTTGTCCTGAGGCTGGAGAGAGAGAGAGAGATAAATCTTTAGGTGACCCCATAAAAGATCATCAGTAATAAACTGCAATGTAAATTTGCAGTAATTACAGTACCATATTTGTACAAAGCTCCTTAAATGAAATATTTACTATGGTAATAGCATCAACAATTAACAGCTATCTTATTGCACTGCATATTAAATTTGAAATTGTAAAACTCTTACTGAAAATGGCTGCTTGAACATAAAAACCAATAAAGCAAATTTGCTAAAGAAACTTCTAACCTTTTCTGGGAGTGAAGTGCAGACTCTCTAGCGAGATCTGGTGTGTGGGTGATAAAGGGATGTAGTTTAGCCACGGCATTTTGACGCTTCAAGGCTGCATTGCAGAGCTCTAATGATGAGATGGTTTTTTGCTTCAGCAGAGATGAAACATCTCTTATACTAAGACTTAAATAGTTCATCCCCATATCTGCAACCAATATTCTCACATTACTTATTATGGTGCATTAAATTTAAAAGAACTAATCAGCAATTACCAATACACCTTAAGAAATGATGACAATTCTTAAGTTAACATACACTGTGAAATAAATAAATGGAGTTCAACTAAAATATTTAATATAAATGGAAGTAAAAGCTGCTAAATAGAGAGTAATGGATAAATAATGAAAGTGTTTGCATGTGAATAATGTACAGGTTTCCCCTTGCTTTATGAAGATTTGCTCTGTATGAATTCATTTGTAAATGCTGACCCAATTTCTACCAGTAATCTGCTCTTATGTGATCAAAAGAGACCACCATCACTTGATTTTTTAACTGTATCTCTTTGAATATTGTTAATATGAAATTGTTTTTATATTCATGGAAAGTGCTAAACAAGAAAGGGTCATACAGCACTTTGAAGTGAGAGATAATCAAGTTTAATAAAAGGAAGGGAAGGGAAGGGTAGCTCCTGTGACTGGCATGAAGGGAGCCCCCCCTTCCTCCCTCCCTTTCCCATCAAAGGCAGATATTTCACAGATGTCACCATTAGTATTTATACAGTAAGGCCCTGCTTTACGGTGTTTTGCCTTACGGCGTTCCGCTGTCAAATTATTACCAAAATTTGCTATACGGCAAGCGGTCTTTCAAATATGGCCCCCCCCCACCCAGTTTGTTTACATTTTCCGTGACCACATCTATTATGTCAGGTAACTTTCCAAAATTTCAAGTGTTTTAAAGTTACTGCATATTTTATATGTACTCTGATAATTATACTTATGTGCACCTGTACCTAAATATACTTACACACTGTGCTGGTGTGCAGGTACACATTAAAATCGCGAAGTCTCTCTCTACTCATGACGCCAATACTACGTAATAATAATCACTCTTGGGCACACTAAATGTCTTATTTTACATCAATATAGGCATTTTCATTAAGCCATCTATGATATTTTCCTCAAAATTATATATGAAACCCATTACATAGCATATAAACATGATACATACACTCACAGAATAAAAATTAATGTAAATATGAGACTTGTTTACAAAGCAGCTGTGTAGGTAGTGTCGGAAGAATTACGTTTTCTCTAGTCAAACACTGGGGGATAACTGTAGAAAAATATTCTTTTCGTATGCCTTTACTCTCTATATAGCAAGTCACAACCCTTGTGGGTTTAGTGCTTTTTATAATAATAATAATATTATTATTATTATTATTAATAATAATAATAATAATATTATTATTATTATTATTATTATTTTCATTCACTCTAAAAATGGTGTGTTGCTGTTTGTTTATTCTGTACTAACTTGTACAACTTGTAAACAATGTAAGAGTATTTGCATTGTGAGGTAATTATTATTATAATAAAAAAATATTGAGGTAAATGTTTTACAAACTCTTACAAACGGACTTGAATGAACTAAAAGTAGACACATACAGTGAAACCTCAAAAATCAAACGTATCACATATCGAACGTTTCGAAAATAAGACCATTTTTTCGGACAAACTGTGTCCCAATTATCGAATGCGCCCCTAATTTCGGACAGCCGGGTACGGGACCTGTCTGCCAGCCCGCACTGTCCGCGTCCCCGCGCAGGCGCCATGAGCAGTCTAGCTTTGCTTATGTTTGAGTGAACACTAACCTGCGCTCGCATTCACACATTTTACGATTATTTCGTTGTGTTTAGTGCTTGTGGGACTGTGAAATAAGCTGCCATGGGCCCAAAGAAACTTGCTAGTGGTGTCCCTGTGGTAAAGAAAGTGAGAAACACCATAGATGTGAAGAAGGAAATAATACAGAAGTATGAGACTTTTTGAGCTTGCCAGGATGTATGGGAAAAACAAGTCGACCATCAGTTCTATCTTGGCAAAGAAAGAACAAATCAAGGAAGCTGATGTTGCGAAAGGTGTTAATATGCTAACCAAAAAAAGACCACAAATAGTTCAAGAGGTTGAGAAGTTGTTGCTGGTGTGGATCAAGGATAAAGAGATTGCAGGTGATAGTGTTTCAGAGACGATCATTTGCGAAAAGGCAAGGAAGTTGCATGCCGATCTGGTACAGAAAACTCCTGGAACCAGTGCTGATAGTGAATTTAAGGCCAGCAGAGGCTGGTTTGACAGATTTAAGAAGCGTAGTGGCATACGCAATGTTGTAAGACATGGTGAGGCAGCCAGTTCAGATAAATGGGCGGCTGAGAAGTTTGTACAGGAGTTTAAGGGGTACATAGACAGCGAAGAATTCAAACCTGACCAAGTGTTTGTGACGAAACAGGCTTGTTTTGGAAGAAAATGTCAAAAAGGACCTTCATCACACAGGAGGAAAAGGCACTGCCAGGACACAAGCCTATGAAAGACAGGCTTACTCTTTCATTCTGTGCTAATGCTAGTGCTGATTTTAAAGTGAAGCCTTTACTTGTGTATCATTCAGAAAATCCCAGTGTTTAAGAAAAACAATGTCTTTAAGAACAAGTTATGTGTCTTGTGGAAAGCTAATCATAAGGCATGGGTCACAAGACAAATTTTCAAAGAGTGGGTCTATGAAGTGTTTGACCCCAGTGTGAAAAAATACCTCCAAGAAAAGAAATTGCCACTCAAGTGCCTCCTGTTAATGGACAATGCTCCTGCTCATCCTCCAAACTTATTAGACCTCTTGTCTAAGGACCTCAGTTTTATAAAAGTGAAGCTCTTGCCTCCTAACACCACTCCTCTCCTCCAGCCCATGGACCAGCAGGTCATTTCTAACTTCAAAAAACTCTACACAAAAGCAGTGTTTGAAAAGTGCTTTGAAGTGACCACAGACACTAAGTTGACCCTAAGAGAGTTCTGGAGGAATCACTTCAACATCTACAACTCCATAAGCCTTATAGGTAAGGCTTGGGAGGGAGTGACTTCCAGGACTTTGAACTCTGCTTGGAGACAATTGTGGCCAGATTGTGTCCAAAAGAGGGATTTTGAAGGGTTTGAGGCTGACCCTGACCCTGACCCAGCTGACCCTCTGCCTGTTGTGGACTCTATTGTGGCATTGGGGAACACCCTGGGGTTGGAGGTGAGTGGTGAGGATGTGGAAGAGCTGGAGGACCACAGGGAAGAGCTAACCACTGAAGAGCTGCAAGAGCTTCATCTGGAGCAGTATCAGACCACAGCTGAGGAACTTGTTTCAGAGGAGGAGGAAGAGGGAGTGGATGAGGTGCCTTCTTCAAAGATTAAGGAGATTTGTGCCAAGTGGAATGATGTCCAAATGTTTGTGCAGAAGTACCACCCTGAGCAAGCTGAAACAAGCCATCTTTGCAACAAGTTCAGTGACAGAACCATGTCCCATTTTAGGGAAATGTTAAAGAGGCGCCAGAAACAGAAGACTGTGGACAGTTATTTTGTGAGACAGGGGTCCAGTGACTCTCAAGCTGGTCCTAGTGGCATTAAAAGACAGAGAAGGGAAGTAACCCCAGAGAGGGCTTTACCTGAAATCCTCATGGAGGGGGATTCTCCTTCCAAACACTAACCCCAACTCCCTCTCTCCTCCTCCCTATCTTCCAGATGCCATCACCAATCTTCAATAAAGGTAAGTAAAAATGTTATTTTATATGTATTACTATACATAATTAAAAACTATAGTATTTGTTGTATGTAAAACTGTAATTCATCTCTATAAAATGTATTTTTTGTGTGAATATTTTTGGGTTTCTGGAACGGATTAATTGTATTTCCATTATTTATGGGAAATATTGCTTCGAATTTCAGACTTTTCGAAATTAGAACTAGCTCCTGGAATGGATTAAGTTCAATTTTTGAGGTTCCACTGTATTAATACGCATTTATTTCGCCTGACAAAGTGATCGTCCACTACCTGCTCAGTTTGTGTTCTTACATTGTCTCAACTCTGTATATTGTTCTCTCTCTTGTTTACTCTTTTGTTAACTAGTTGGCTCTCATTGACGATGGTGTCTAAGCTTAGCTGTGATAAAAAGAGAAGTCGTAAGCCTCTTGCTTTAAGTGCCAAGTTAGAGGATGATAGTGTGCCATTCTGATTTTATTCAATAAACACCCTACCACTCACCTCTCACACATTAATATTAATATTTTAAGGTAAGTAATAAGTGTACTCTGTGTGTATCTTACACTTTGTGTTTTTAATGCCTATTTCTATTGCTAACTTAATATAAGTTAGTGTAAACTTGTTGTCTGGCATTTATTGCATATTTTGTGTGTACTCTGATAATACTTGTGGACCTGTGTGGTAGCCGGGTGGAGGGACAACATTACGTTTTCTCTGCTCAGCCATCAGAGAAAATGTGTATGAATCTGCGTTTGGCCCAGCCACTCCCTCACTCCGCTTTTGTTTACAATTTTCGGCATGAATTATTCATTACTTCTACCTTCATTTATGATGGCATCTAAAGGTAGCTGTTACAAATGATTAAATTCAGTGAACAAGGCATGTCGATGTTAATAATATGGCTCTGGGCCACAGTGTAGGTAGCCGGTAGGTGTAGCCTACACTGACTTCCTACAAATAAATACTACTCACCTCTCTTCCTATATTAAGACTACACATATTTTAAGGTAAATAATGAGTGTACTGTATGTGTATTTTACCTCTCTGGGATGTTTTAAATATCGTATATTAAGTATGAGACGGGGAGCCAGGGCTACCTACACCTGGGCTACCTGCACCTGACTTCCTACAAATAAGTACTACTCACCTCTCTCCTCACATTAAGATTACAAATACTTTAAGATAAGTAATGAATTTACTGTGAATGTATTTTACTTTGTGTGCTTTTAATGCCTAGTTCTATTACTAACTTAATATAATTTAGTGCAAACTTGTTGTCTGGCATTTATATGCATTTATAAATGGAAAAAAATGGCGTTCTGTCTTCTGGCAATGTCTGCTTTCCGGCGACAGCCTGGAACCTAATCCACCGTATAAGTGGGGCCCTACTGTATATGTTTGTTGGTATCTACAAAGTGAAGTAAAGTGATGAAAAATACTACACTTAACCCATTAAACTGTCGAAGGGTCTCAAATAAATGCACACTGTGCCAGCAGTCTTGAAAAAAAATTATTTGATCTTATTAAAAATTCTCTTATTTTAGAAGTGTAATAAGACAAGAATGAGTAAAGCTTACAGAGATATGAAGAACTGAAAGTAACCTACATGCATGGTTTCTTAGGATATTTCACTTTTTTACACTGCTCAACAATACACTAAAGAATTGGTATTTTCTGGGTCCCACAATGGCCTGCACAAAACAGAATTTATTTTCATACTGTGTACACACATGGTGTAGACCTGTTTTCTCTGAAGTAGGCCTAACCAAGCCAATAGGAACCATTTTTTTCCTGGGTAGAGGCATGGCTGACAAATAGACAGCAGAGAGTTTGCATAAATGGGGAGAAATCAGAATGGGGGCACGCCACAAGCGGTGTTCCTCAGGGGTCAGTGTTGGGCCCGTTGTTGTTCACAATTTACATAAACGACATAGATGAGGGAATAAATAGCAACATAAGCAAATCTGCTGATGACACCAAAATAGGCTCTCCAATTCATTCTAATGAGGACACTAGAGCACTCCAGGATGATTTGAATAGACTGATGCAATGGTCGGAGAAGTGGCAGATGCAGTTTAATATTGACAAATGCAAAGCTCTAAATGTTGGACAGGTAAATAATCATGTCACATATAAACTAAATAATGTAGATCTTAATACTACTGATTGCAAAAAGGATTTAGGAGTTCTGGTTAGCAGTAATTTAAAACCAAGACAACAGTGCATTAGTTTTCGCAATAAAGCTAACAGAATTCTTGGCTTCATATCTAGAAGTATAAATAATAGAAGCCCTCAGGTTGTTCTTCAACTCTATACATCCTTGGTTAGGCCTCATTTAGACTATGCTGCTCAGTTCTGGTCACCGTATTACAGAATGGATATAAATGCTCTGGAAAACGTACAGAGGAGGATGACAAAGATGATCCCATGTATCAGAAATCTTCCCTATGAGGATAGACTGAGGGCCCTGAATCTGTACTCTCTTGAAAGGCGTAGAATTAGGGGGGATATGATTGAGGTGTATAAATGGAAAACAGGAATAAATAAAGGGGATGTAAATAGTGTGCTGAAAATTTCCAGCCAAGACAGGACTCGCAGCAATGGTTTCAAGTTGGAAAAATTCAGATTCAGAAAGGATAGAGGAAAGCACTGGTTTGGTAATAGAGTTGTGGATGAGTGGAACAAACTCCCGAGTACAGTTATTCAGGCTAAAACGTTGTGTAGTTTTAAAAATAGGTTAGATAAATACATGAGTGGGTGTGGGTGGGTGTGAGTTGGACCTGACTAGCTTGTGCTGCTGGGTCTGGTGCAGTGCTCCATCCTTGAGTGGAGATGATCAGACTGGGTGGGTCATTGGGCTAATCCGGTGGAGGGGGGGGTCATTGGTCTAATCCAGGGGGGGGAGACATGGACCTGCTCCGCATGGGTCAGTAGGCCTGTTGCAGTGTTCCTTCTTTCTTATGTTCTTATTTTGAAGGTCCTAGATATTTGACGCATGGTACGGATAAGGTCAACAAAAAGCTACAGTGGAAATAAAAGGTATAAAATACCGACACAATGGAACACAGAAGCAGTATAATGTGATCCTTTATTGACAACATTTCGCCCACACAGTGGGCTTTGTAGATGAATGGTTCAGAGAACCGACATGTTGATAAATTAGACACATGTGCAACTCTTGGGTATCTTTATTGAGGAAACGTTTCGCCACACAGTGGCTTCATCAGTCCATACAAAGGAGAATCTTGAAGAACAGGAGGAGAATGAGGTAATCAGTCCTTCAACCTTGAGTCGATGTGGTCACTCCATCAATCTTGAATAGAATACGGCATACGTGCTGAGAAGGAGCTTATAAACCGTTGGCAGGAGAGGTGCAGCAGTCATAGGTCGTGTAACATTTGTTCAATGTTGAAGTAGGTCGTGTCCAAGGTCGACCAAGGTCGTGAACAAATGTTACACGACCTATGACTGCTGCACCTCTCCTGCCAACGGTTTATAAGCTCCTTCTCAGCACGTATGCCGTATTCTATTCAAGATTGATGGAGTGACCACATCGACTCAAGGTTGAGGGACTGATTACCTCATTCTCCTCCTGTTCTTCAAGATTCTCCTTTGTATGGACTGATGAAGCCACTGTGTGGCGAAACGTTTCCTCAATAAAGATACCCAAGAGTTGCACATGTGTCTAATTTATCAGTGGGCTTTGTCAAGTCACAAACAGATCTATCTGGGTAAAAGGTACGTGAGTATAGAATGGAGTCGGGTGGAGAATGCTGGGTAGGTTGGATCTGAACTTGCGTGTGACAATCTTCCAAGAAGGTCCAAATGGTCCAAACGTATATATACATTCTTACCACTAGCTCCCCAAACGTATATATGTTTTATTTTTCCTGCCTCCAAATTTGGTATGATTGGCCTGAAATGCCTGGTCAGCATAGAATGGGTCTTAACATTCGGTGTGCACCATATTAAAAAAATCTGGGACCACTTAGTACCTTGTGGGAGTGACAGTTAAATTGAGCACCAGCTCGAGCAAACAGTGCGGCAGACACCAAGGATTCACTGATGTAATGTCATATTAACACTCCCCTTTTAAGAGGAAAGTGATGTTAACCCCAAGTTTAGGATCTGTCTATCTCTATCTGCCTCTATCTGTCTCTGTCTATCTGTCTCTGTGTCTGTGTCTATCTGTCTCTGTGTCTGTCTGTGTCTGTGTCTGTCTCTGTCTGTCTCTGTATCTGTCGCTGTCTATCTGTCTCTGTCTATCTGTCTCAGTCTATCTGTCTCTATCTGTCCCTGTCTATCTGTCTCTGTCTGTCTCACAGGTACACACAAATACAATTATACATAGTGAAAATTACCTAGGATAACCTAAAAAATCCAAAGTGCTATACTGTGCTTGTAGATATACGTAATGCATATGAATACCTGTTTGTTCACAGTGGCTCTCTCTGAGACAGACAGACAAGCAGAGAGACGGAAAGAGACAAGCAGACAGAGAGACAGATAATCAGACAGGGATACGAGCCCATCGAATGTCATCCCATATCTCATCACTGCCCTCCCGGATGTTTGTCACATTGCGTCAAGGGAGCTTCTTTCTTCTTCTTCCTCCTCCTCCTCCTCCTCCTCCTCCTTCCTTCTTCTACTTCTATACTCCCGTGTATCCAAAACATTGCTGGAACCTATAAATACTTTGTATATATTCCTAGACATTAGTAAATGACCAAGGCAGGTGTAAATGTCCACCTGTCAATGTGTTAATGACAATTTGAGTATAATTTCAGTACCTAATATGTGTCAGAACAAAGATTGGTTATGAAATGCCAAGAAATACAATAAATTGTAATTATCAGAACATAAAAACTATATAAAATGATATAAAAATGAGAAAAAATGGTATATCGGCAACACTTCCTCAAGCTGCAGGACACAATGTTGCCGTCAGGTGAGCATTGACTGCCAAATTTGCAGCCTCTTATCTCAGTAAGTACTGACCCTAATATTTTTATTTTATTCCTATTACACTTAGAAAATTTTTCTCTGTAGTATTTCAATGAAAAAAATTTTTTTTTCAAAATATTCGGGGCACTGGGGGAGAGAACATATACAGTGGACCCCTGACCAACGAAGGCATCATCTA